TCTTGAAGGCCCTAATAGGGTTCCTGTAACACAGTTCCAGTTTGACAACCCACAAGAAACAAACAACTTGAAAAGGGAGAGTATCTCAATGTAGGCAAACTAATTGGTGAACAAACAGCCAATACCAATGAGGAGGGCAGGAAGCATTTGGCCCTCCCAAAGGTTTTGGTCTACAGTTGTCATCAATCCCAGTGGTAATTGGTGGTAGAAATTATCACTCAAAGCCTAAATGTCCTCCATGACTCACAGCTCCATCATGCTTTTTTTTTCCTTTTGTATACCACCATCTTGGAAACCTTTTTGTTTAGATCTAATTAGTATAAATGCATTTTATATGTTTTTTAACTTGTTTTAACTGATGTAAGCCACCCCGAGTAGACGTTGTAAAGAGGGGCGGGGTAAAAATCAAATAAATAAATAAATAAATAAATAAATAAATAAATAAATAAATAAATAAATATAAATGCAATAAATAAATAAATAAATAAATGCTTCTTCTGCACCTCAATTATCTTCCTGCATCAGCCATTCCATCAGGCTGCAGTCAAGAAAAAGAGCAGAAACAGACCTCTCCATTGGCTTTAATGAGAGATCAGAAACTTCTAACTCTTCTGTCCTTGAACTGCTTAAATTCCAGATGGCTGTTACAGGTCATAGTTGATTATTAAGTGTTTGAGGTTATTTTCCTATCCTCTTCCCAATCCTTTTGTGTTATGTCTTTTTGATTCTTAAGCCTGATTTCTCCTAACTGCTCCAGAGAAGCCTTTTGGTCTAAAGGCAGGGTAAGAATGCTCTGAATAAATTAATTACCATTTTTAATGCAGGTGACATGCAAATCAGGGGCACATTTATAGTAAGGATTGTTATTTTGGCCACCCAAATGTCCATCCCTAATATGTTTCATTTTCTGAATTACGCCCCCCCCCCGGTGAATTTTTTAATATACCACATGTTCCATTAATAAAAAGAATATATACATTTATTCAAATTTAAAAGGCACCACTTTCTGCCCCCACAAACTAAACTGATGTCAAGTTTTACCATTGCCTATGGTATATATTACATCATCCACTAATTGGCAACTCTATCCTGCAACAGAAGACATGAAGCAATAACTCCATAGGTTTTCCACTTGATCCTATGTCTGTTACTCACAGAACAGAACGATGGGTATTTTCTTCATTTCCAAATACCAGCAACACCTCCCTCCCCCCACACACAATCTGCACATAGCAGTTTTAGCTCCATCTAGTTTTTCCTCTATTGGAGTCAATGGAGGTGCAGTACTATTTGCACAATGACTCTTCAAACACTTAATTAAATATACTAATCATTATTCCTCTTTCCATGTCTATATACAGATAAACATCATTGTGGTCCCAAAAGATCTAGCATGCTGGACAGAGTGCTCTCCCTGAATAGTTAATTTCTAACCATTCAAAATTTTCTTCGTATCATCCTGTACCAAAAATGCAAGCTCAAATGGTGCGGCAGATTTTCTTTGATTATTTCTGTGGGAAGGCTACTTTTTAGTGGGAGAACAAAATGCTGAGTCACTGATAGACAGAGAATGTCTAATTAGCAAAAGCAACATTTACTTTCAGAAAACCAAACTGCCTTATTTATTTATTTACTTGTGGATTTATTTACTTATTTATTTATTTACTATCAGTTCTGCGCATAGCATTATTTGCAAATTAACAGCACCATCCCTTGTTCTTTTGACTGTATATTACACTGGCATGCCTTTTCTTAAAAAGCAACCCTGCTCAAATCTACAGAGATCAAGGTTATTGTCATTCATAAAAAGGAAGACAGGAAAACTGCTACTGACCTTTGACAGACAGTCAGGTCCCTGAGAAAGTATTATCAAACTATGATCAGATAGACAGTAACATAAATAATAAGTGATCTGGCAAAGTTATGATAGAGGCCTTGAAATTTTCCTCATGTACCCCAGTTAGAGTGCCTGCTATGTATAGCCTGCAGCCATTTATTTCTGAATATGTTGATGGTATTTCCACAATAATCCCTTTGTCTAGAATTTCCATCCTCTCCTCACTCACTTTATATGGAGCATCCACATTACATCATCATTAGCCTTTGCTACTGTTCCTTCCCTTTTTAATTTTTTAAAGCATTACAAAAAGCAGTATCTCACTGTAAAATAAATGAGAGAAAAATCAATAAGCAAATTCCTCCCTCTTTCATGGTTAAAGAAACTGACATCGGCCCAAACCAACAAGAAGCAATATTTTAAACTAGCAGTAGAATTAAGATTTTCAGATTGAAACTTCCTTGTGGGTTTCAAACTTCTGGCAGGCCAATGGGAAGGACACGGTTGAACAAAACTTGCATGGAACCTCTGTTTTGACAAAGCATTTCAATACTGCTACTAGCTTGTTATAGAAAAGCAATAGTTTTGTTTTACCAAAGGTTTAAGAGTCAAAGCCCTCTTTCACTCGGTTTTATCAATCTGAGAACCATTTACAGTCAGATAAATAGTTGTTGGTCACAGCCTTAGAAAGTATAAGGATTTTTTTAATGCACATCAATTACCTCGCTTTACCTCAATAGTGATTTTTAAACTCCTTTTGCAATGTCAATACGTAAAGGTAAAGGTTCCCCTTGACAATTTTTGTCCAGTCGTGTTCGACTCTAGGGGGCGGTGCTCATCCCCGTTTCCAAGCCATAGAGCCAACGTTTTTGTCCGAAGACAATCTTCCGTGGTCACATGGCCAGTGCGACTTAGACACGGAACGCTGTTACCTTCCCACCGAAGTGGTCCCTATTTATCTACTTGCATTTGTATGCTTTCGAACCGCTAGGTTGGCGGGAGCTGGGACAAAGTGACGGGAGCTCACTCCGTTGCATGGATTCGATCTTAAGACTGCTGGTCTTCTGACCCTGCAGTACACAAAGGCTTCTGCGGTTTAGCCTGCAGCGCCACCACGTCCCTTTTTGCAATGTCAATGCCTGACACAAAATGCAGAAGACAAGTTTTATTGTGATACTGACTTACAAGGCTTCTCCGTGCCTGTTAAGTTTAAAGAGCCAATGGAAGCATACAGAAAGAGCACTTGCTCTGGTCTTGGGGTGGAGAACCTCAAGCCCTGGGTTAGAATCAAACCTTCCAGTTGCCACAATCTGGCCCTTTGTGGTTCCCCACCTGGCTATGCATTCTTCTCCTCCAGTTAGTGGCTTCCTTACTTTTCTACACATTTTCACCATTGCAAAGGGTTAACATGTCTCTTCTCGAGATTAGTCACTGGGAGTAAAAGCTTAAGCTAAAATATCCTGGAAATTTTGCTTGCTGCCTTGCCATTAATGAAAGATTTTTTTTCTGCAAATGAATTTGGATCTCAGTGTGAAAAAAGGTTCTAGTTTTGAGGCTTTGCGGGATTTTTTTCCCCCCATGGAATACAATTGCTTCAGACTACAGGTTGGGGTGGGATGTTTGATTATTCCCACAAGCAAAAAAGAAAGAGTTTACTACAGGCAGAAAGCCAGTACATCAGAAAGAAAGCTGAATTAAAACCCTTCTCTGTGACAGTCTACATTATGGAAGTTTTCTGTGAAGTAACATGGTTCTGGGGAGCTGCATCATACTCTTCAAAACAGACTTTTTATCCAGCTCTTCACACAGAACCAACATTTACATCAATTTTTACCACAACAATTAAACATCCTTCCTCAAGCTTTTGCTACTTGAATAAAACCATATTTTAGCCCAACTTATGTTCAAGAAACCTGCCATAATATCTGGAAACTATCACTTAGAATGATACAGTAAATATTACGAATGACAGAGAGCCATTCTAAATTTATCTACATATTCCAATGTTCACAGGTTGGCCTGGTAGAAAAAGAATGTGCATAGAACCATAACTTCTTCAATATAATTCATCCAAGTCTCAATTTGTTTGCATTTTTAAATATAAAGACAAAGTATTAACCTGTAGCATCTTTGTCTCTTGCACGCTGATTGTCTGGGTGCTACAGTGTCCTAGGAACCAACATCATAGGCCTTTTTTTCTGCAAAGAGTCATATATTGTCCTTCACAGACAAGCACAATATTTGGCAGCAGAAGCTGGCTTCAATTTAAGGGATGTTCTTTGAAAGCTCCATCCCATCTACAGAGTGATCATTCAAAACTATTGACTTGTTCAGACACTTTGGGAACTGGCAGTGCTTTGTCTCAACTTTAATAATTATAATTGCATGCCCTCAAGGCAATTCCGAATTATGGTGACCCTTTCTCAGGGTTTTATAGATATAAAATATTTAGAAACAGCTCACCAGTGCCTTTCTTCTGGAAGAACACTGTGGCCCTATAACCTGCCCAAGGTCACACAGGTTGACTCTTCAACCAGGTGGCACAGTGAGGAATTCCGCTGCTGCTCTCCAACTTTAGTGAGTTATATACAGTAACTTGATGTCAACTTTTTGGAGAACAACAAAGGGCAAGAAAAGCTGTTGTAATACAAAAGACTTCAAAATAGCTTTGAAAACAGGGTTGCAGAACTACTAAATTAATGTTCAACAGATCCTAGAGAAATATGATGTTCATTTTACAAACTTTCCATCAAGCAGTATTGTAAGAACAGCCTGTTATGAACTGTCAGATTATTCACAATAAGCAACCCTTTAAAAGACAAACATCCGCCTGGCCAGTCCATGGGGCAGTTGGCTATCCATAATTTTGGAGGACAACAGTATTAAAAGTTATGGCTTCTCCCCTTTCTCTCCACCCCACTTAAAAATACCTTCTAATGCGCCCCATAAGCCTGTTTCCCGGAAACCCACACTCTTCCTGGAGCACCCCATGGTTTCAAACCATTTTTCCAGAAGGCCCAAGGGCGGCGGCGGCGAGGGGGGGGTTTCGGTCCAAAGAGCTCATTCTCAGGAAGCCGTGTCAATCATTCGCCTTGCGCCCAATGACAGGGGCACTGCTACTCTTTCCTCCCCGCCCACCGCGGCGGCTTCCTTGCCCTCTCACCTTGTGGTCCAGGACACTGATGTAGCCTTCCAAGGGGCGGTCGGGGAGCCCGGCGGGCCGTCGCTGGGCAGCGGTGCTCACTTGCTTCTGGCTCTCAGGCTGCTGGCTGGCTGTCACCGCCACCTGCTGCTGTCGCTGCTGGCTGCGCTCTTTCTGGCCGCCGCCGCCGCCACCTCTTTCTCCTCCTCCTCCTCCTCCGCCGCCACCACCGATACTGCCGTACAAGAGCAACAAGCTAGTGCACATGGTGGTGAGCGCTAAAGACACCGCCAGCCCATGTCGCTGCAAGGGGGACAAGGAGACACACTGAGAGAACCCGCGGAACGCAGCGTGAACCGCGGGGCAGGCGGAGGGGCGCAGGGGAGGTCTGGCCACGACGCGGGCAAGGGGTGAAGACGCTAGCCAGGCCCCAGGCCCCACAAAAGTGCAACGGGGGCGAAGGGCGACGAGCCCATAACAGCCGGCGGCCGAGGAGGCGCGCACTTGCAGCTCGGATTGCCCGCTTCTCTTTCGGCCGCGCTTCCTCCGGGTCGCGGGGGCTGCTCAACAGTTTCGCACACTCGGCGTTTTACCGCGGTTTCCCCCCGCACTCCCTCCGCCGTTTGCCTGCCTCGCGAGCGGATAACGTGGGCCCGTCCCCGCGTGGCCAGTGGGTTTTCATGGGCATCAATTGGGGGGGGGGCTGCCCGCCACCCCCACCTTTAGGAGGGCTTCCCTTAGTGGCCGTCCGTCGACCTCGAGGAGGGGAAGAAGGGACCGGCTGGCGGTGGTAGCCTTTGGCAAGTTCTTATTTCGGACTTGCCGGTGTTTGTGTGTGTGGGCTTCCTGAGGGACGGTGGAAAGGCTTCAGGTGAGGGGCTGGAGGTGGACATTTTAAATCCTGATCTAGAGGCAGAGAGAGAAAGTGCGTGTGTCTGTGGAGAGAAACCCTCCATTTGCAAGTTGCAAAGCAGAGGAGCCTCCCGGAAAGTGCAGTTGGTTACGGCATTTTAAAACCTCCTAGTGTCTCCCCTCACACTTTCCTCTCGGCGGCCTTTCGCCCTGTTCCCCTTCCCTCCCTTTTGGGGCTCTTCGCACAACGTCCCTTGTGTTACTGCTACCATTCCCATTGCTCCTCTTCCAACACGGGGATGGGAAGCGGCGAGGGTTTTTTTTGAAAGAAGCCACCTCGGAATTGTTTCGCGGAGCCCCAGGAGTTTATTTAACCCCCTTTTCAAACAGGTGTACCCGTTCTTCCTCGCCAGTAGCCCCCTGCCCCCAAATGTCAGCCATTCCCCCAGGCATGAAGCCAAAGGAAAGGAAGGCTGGATAAAGTTTTTTTTCCTTATTCCCTGAGGCAACAAGCCCCTGGTATGGAACGACCGTATCGAAATAGGACGCACCACGCACCCGGCTGCAACAAATAAGGCAGCCCGCCTACACGCCTCCCTGGGAAAAGCTTGGGATTCCTCCCCCGCCCGAGGTAGCTGGTTCCATTTCAGGTCCTCCTGGGTAATCCGGGCGCCCTGGAAGGTCCTGCAGCGGACTTACCAGCAGCGCCTTCATTTTCGTTCCCCTCCTTGAGATCGCGGTCTCCTCAGTCAGGCTCGAGCGTCAGAAGAGACTTTTTCCTCTAGGGTTTCCATTGCTGCCAAGGAGCCAGTGACATGGTTTCTGACAGGCGACTGGGAGCAGAGGGAATGGTGTGTGCGTGTATGTGTGACAGAGGAATGTATAGATATCCGAAGCCACGGTCAGGATCAACCCAACCTTGAGCTGTTGTGGGAAGCGCGGCTGTTGCAGAGATTAGAGGCAGAATTAAAATTGGACCCTTTTAGAGTCTCCCAGTGATCTGCACAACTACCGCCTGACGAGGTCTTCAGGGTCCTAAATAGCACCCGTTCAACCCTAGGCTTCTCCGACTCAAACGTGGAGAAGTTGACAGTTCTTTTAGCTGTTTTATTCCTAGATGGTGGGAATCGGCTGCCATAGTATAAGCTACTTATCATTCCGGAA